CCCTATCGTTAAGATATGGGTAACAATATGGTCTTTGAAAGGTCTTTGTGAAGATCGAATGAGTTAATGCATGTAAAGCACTGAGAACAGGGCCTAGAAGTTGAAAGTGATCGATAAATGTCAGCTATTATAATTTTAGCATACTCGGCAATAATATGTCATTATTTCAGTTCTTATATTAGAAAAATGCAATTCTAAATCTGAATTTGTCTTATTCATAGGGTAATACATGACTTCATAGGTTCTGTCATTGGAGAAAGTTGCTGAATAGGCTTCTCCAAAATATCTTACAAGAATGCTCATCCACCACAGTACCTGAGAATCTACTGCTAGAAATGCATTAAGGCTTTGAGGGTTTTAGGAGGTTCTTCATAAAATGTTCATACTTTAGGAAGAGAGAACACAATTTTTTGTCATAAGCAGCACCTCAGCATGGATTAGTTTATCCCAGGCGGGAAAGACAGGACTGAGCCAAGGAAATGCAATGTTGGAGAGGTGAAAAAGGTTTTTGCTTAGAGTGTTGTCTTTTGGAAGAGTGCAGGTCTTAGGTGAGGTCTGTAGTACCTGTTGGGAACTAGAGATCATTTTAGTATTAAGAAGGGAAAAGGGAAATGAGTTGAAGAGGAGAGGGGCACAGAAGAGAAGAGAGAATTGTTTACTCAATAGTGCTTAGAGACAACCTTGTTCATGAAAATTTGCTGAAGTGGCTTAAATAAAGCTTCAGTCAAGCCGTAAAGATCTGATCCAACTTATCTAAAAAATATTAAGTTTATAAGCCCTAATACATTTAATATAAAATGATTACTGATACTAACATAGAAGAAAAAAATATATATTTTTATATATATTTCCCTTTTTCTTTGAATTTAAATCTGTTAACAGAATGCATGACTTTCTTGGGGTGCTAATTTCTAGGTTGCAACTGTTCCTAGTGACGTGGGAGGCCTGTGCCAAGTCATTGCACATTTACAACACTGCTGATGGCGTTGTCCCCTAGAGAGGAAATAGTTCATTGGAGCTTTAGTGCAGAAACCAGCACAGGTAGGCGAAATGTTTTTATAATTGCCAATAGGAAAAAGAGAAGGCCCAGGGGAGTTCTTCTGCCCAAGGGAGACCCTCCCTGGTTATAACCTAATTTGTTAGTGTATGTGAACCAGATGGGTGGAATTAAACCTTCTAAGCCATCGTGGTTAGATTGTTTTAAAATGTCTGGAGACTCCTAGAAATAAGAAGTCATATTTCTTTCAAAGGACCGTCCCCTTGTGGTTCAAATGCGAGCTTTTGAAACTGAAACTATAACCCCAGCTATGGGGGGTGGGGTGGGTGGGGTGGGGAGAATCTGTTTTCCTTTGTCCCCTATTGGGGCGTATATGAAGGCTCTGAAATTCCTGACTTAATTAATGTTGGTATTTTGATAAGCATGGCTCTGAGGTAGCAAGATAGGGGACTAGAAGCTAATGAGACGTTGAAGAAGGTCCTTGCTTTCTACAGATCTGTCTTACCCTGAAGAATTGGCCTTCCCAACCTTCCTGTTACAGTCATTCAATACCCGTCTGCCTGTGGTGTTGTGGAAATAAAGTATAGAAAAATCTCAGGAGGCTGCCTAAGTGGGTTGAGGGTAAAAAAAGTATAGGTTAGAAGAAGGTAGTATATATAAAGTGAAAGAGTACAAAATATATATATTTTTTATATTTTACATATATATATACCGTGATAGGTACTGAATTATCTTGAAACTGAATGTGCTCCAATGGTCAAGAAAGTTAAAAAGATAAGCCCCCTCATTCACCCTGGGATGGGGGTGGGGGAGGCATATCTACACTTGGAACACAATGTGTTGCTCTGTTTGCTTAGCTTCAAGAAAAGTCTAATGAGTTTGGAGCCAGTCAAGAGTACAAAAATAATGAAAATTATGGCTTCCACATCCCTTCCACAAGAAGCTACTTAAATGGCAGAATTCTGCAATGTACATGGCAGAAGGATGATGTTATGTCTTTATGTGTTGTGTCACCCTAATATTCATCTATTGAAGCCTTAACCCTTAGGAGCTCAGAATGTGATTGCCGTTAGAAATAGGGCCTTTAAAGAGGTAAGTAAGTAATACAGGGTCATTAGGGTGGGCCCTAATCCAATGTGACTGGTGCCCTTATAAGAAGGGATTAGAACACGGAGTGACAGACACCATACACATGCGCACGCAGAGATGACCATATGAAGACATAGGGAGAAGGTGGCCCTCTACAAGCCAAGGAGAAAGGCCTCAATAGAAACCAACCTTGTCAACACCTTGATCTCAGACTTCTAGCCTCCAGAACTATGAGAAAATAAATTTCTGTTGTTTAAGTCACCCAGTTTGTGATATTTTGTTATGGCAGTCCCAACAAATAAATACAGGTGAGAATATGAACAAATATAATTTAAAATTATAAAGGGTCTAGAAAAGGATGTGATTCTCAGGATACCTCCAGGTCAGGGTTTCTTAAAGCAGGGTCTGCATACTACCTGCATCAGAATCACCTATGATACTTTTTAAAAAGTAAGTTCCCAGGCCCCTTTTGGACCTAGAGTATTAAAATTTTCTGGTATGGTGCCCAAGAATCTATCTTTTCAGCAGACACCCAACTGATATTTTTGTACACTTAAGTTCAAGACCCACTGTGCAAGGTCCTACCCAATCTCTGGCTCTTTTTTGGGCCAGGTTGGCTGCTACTAATTACATCTCAGCAAGTTACACTCAGAGCACTGGTGTACCCGGCGCTCTGGCAGATGCTCTTAATCCAGGAACCAGGTGTACATCACATCGTAGGTTATCTCTCTCCGGGTGTCAGCCAGTGTTTACCAGCATGTGAGGACTGCTGAATGGGATGGACCAAATGGAATTCTTAGCGGGGGTTACTTTTGATTCTCAGAAGTAACATGTGCCTTACCCATCTTACTCATTTAAAGTGACATATTTTGAACAATAATCTACACAGTATGTATATTATTTCTCTCACAAGATTTGTTTAAAGATGCTATTACCTTGGCACTGAAATTCTCAGAAGGAATACAGGGAATAGAAAGGACATATCTAACTTTTCTATTGGTATACATCAGTTGGACTTATATGGAAAGTTCTCTGATAGGGCCTGGGCCTTTTTAAGCCCTATGCAGTTAAAATATAGTGTTAGTGAAATAGATAAATAACATATATAAGTAAAAACTAATTAATATTACATGGAGAGGAATCTAATACATTATTTCAGGCAGGCTCTGTGCTTTCGTGCATTTCATCATCACCAAAGGGAATGGGAATAGGATGTATTCTTTCATATGGCAGGTGACTTTTCTTTCCTTCATCTCTGGACCAAAGTTAAAGAGGGAGAGAAACAGTTGAGAGTCCAAAGCAAACACAGTGACAAACATTTTCAAAGTAGACAGACTAAGTGGCATTTTGATTTAACTATGGCAGGTCACTAGGAACATGTACAAACTATCCCCACCCCCATTTACAAATGTGATTAAGGGACATAACAAGCTATTATGAGTTTTTTTAAAACTGAAATGTAGGCAAGCCATTTGAGAACGTTCAGGTGGCAAGTCATTGGGCCATTTCTCTATTTTCCTTCTGGTGGTCTGGCCTTGAAGTAGAATGCAGCTAATGTCCCAGGAGAGACTAAGCCTGTCCAGGGGTAGCTGTGGCCACCCACCAGTTCTGGATCACTTTCTCAGCGGCAGGCACTACCTAAGTGCTTTTCCCTCCTTGACTAACTAAATTTCGGTGTCCCTGTGTAGACCACTCATTCCCATAGGATTTCCCCCTACTCCCCGCCCGAGGGGGGCGAGGGTGGGAATGGATGGGGAATTGCAGCTGTCATTAATGTTTTGGTAGCTTTCCAGAAACTAGAATTCTGGCACTTAAAATGAATTGATTTTAAACTCTAGACCTTAATACTCTGGAGAGGTTCCGAAGAAAAGCCTTGAGAGCCTTTGGGTTTCATTAGGAAAGAAAAGAGGGCATTCAGTCTTCAAGGGGACAGCTTCCTAGTTTGGGTAGAGATCGGCTTGTCAGACGAGCGAGAACCCTAACAATGAAAAACGGCTGTTTTGACTGAAAGGGGGCTCTCTTTTAATTTGGACCAAAGCGCTCCTCGTGCGATGTAAGGACTGGTGCTCATTCTCGGACCTTTCTGAGCGGCCCTTTTCCTCCGTCCTGTCCTCAGCGAGGTCCTGGCCTGGGGGCGAGGCAGCCCCGAGAGCCTCGGCCAGGGGATCCGGGGCGCGGGGCGGCGGCGC